GGGCAATCCTACTTCCGTAGTGATACTGCCTCGGAAACCCAAGGAGGGGTCGCTATGAGTCGGGGCAGACTCGATGGCAAACAACAACAACAACACATTTATACATTTATATCATTAGTCTCGAAAAGTGTATAAGACATTAACCCATTATCTCCCTAAGAATTATAAATGCATTTTAAAAAAAAAAAAAAAAAAGACTCAGGCTGCATGGTCACAGCCTATCCTTACTACCTAGCCAGAACCAATCCTGTAACCCTTTCCTGTCTTTAATCCCAATCAGGGTCTTTTCCCTGCTTCTGTAGTCCCGCCTGTAACAGTGATGAATCTGTCTACCACCCATCATGATTTTGTGATGATTCTCCCTTTTTAAAAATCAATGTAATCAGCCACATGGCCATGACTCGGTGGACTCATTCCACTTTCTCAGGCTGATGGTTTCCCTTATCCAGGATGACTGTCCTTGTTCTGTCCAAGGCTTAATAAAAGTGTCTCTATTAGAACTGTTTGAATTTGGGATCTCTCTTTCTCTTATTACAGGAGCTCTGGTGGCATAGTGCCTAAGGCATTTTGACGGCTAACCAAAAGGCTGGCAGTTCAAACCCACCAACAACTCCTGGAAGATTGGGTAATCTACCTCTGTAGAGATACCGCCTCAGAAACCCAAGGAGGGTTTGCTATGAGTTGAAATCTACTCAACAGCAATGAGTTTCCCTTATTACAGTTTGAATCACCAACCTTTTGGTTAGCAACTTAACCACTGCACCACCAGAGCTCCTTATAAAATGCAAAGGTCAAGTAAATCAAATGTTTCAGTTGGACAATTAACATACATGCTCTAATTATATGACCACACAAGTAATCAAGTTATCAGCTATCATAGAGTCATTCAAATAATTATAACTGGAGAGAGTATGGGGGAATAAATTTGTCCAGAAGTGAGTAAAATAAGCCAAAATTAGTTGATTTGTGAATGGTTTATTTAGTCTTTACTCCTAACTTTTTTAGAAGGCTATAACCTTTATTTTTGGGTGATACTGTGACTAATTTTCTTCTTTGTTTTTCTGTATTGTCTGACTTCTATATTGTATGTATTACCCCCAAAATAAAACTAAACAAAATGAAGTTAATGATTTGAAAAATTTGCAATATCTAACTAGATTACTTATTAGTACTGACTGCTCTGCAAGAGTGAATTGACTAACTCCTATTCCAAGATGTGCTAATCCTGAGGATATGAGGACACTTAATGAATGACCACTCAGCCTTCCCTGCTCAGACTTTACCTCTCCTGTGAGCTGAGCCACCTCTGCTTCCAAGTCCTGTTTCTCTGTGGCAATGTTCTGCTTTTCAGTATCCAATGCTTCCTTCTCTCCTCGAAGGTCCTGGAGCTTCTGCTCAAAGTCACTTTCCATCTTTTTCATTTCTACCTGTAGCTCATGTCGGGCTGTTAACTCTGAGTCCAGCTAAAGAAGAAAGGAAATCAGGCTCTCAACAAGCTCTTCATCTCACACAAAAAAAGACAAGTCTTAGTCTTCGTAATTTACTGTTTTGGGCTAACAGTTGATCTATAGAATTCACTGACCAATATCTATCTCAGACAATGCTTGGGAAAAAGTGTACCATTATTTTACCATTATTTTGACCTGCACAAGGATGACATGCAAATTCATGAAGCGTTCCATATTATTTTGGGAGCTCTGGTAGCATAGTGGCTAAGACACTTGCCTGCTAACCAGACAGCTGGCGGTTCAAACCCACCAGCCACTCCTCGGAAGGAAGGTTGGGCAATCCTACTTCCGTAGTGATACTGCCTTGGAAACCCGAGGAGGGGTCGCTATGAGTTGGGGCCGACTCGAAGGCACATAACAACAACAACAACAACATTTTGACCTTAAAATCAAGATGGAAGGAGAGGGGGACAATTTCCATGGTCTCCTTACTTTTGCAATTATACTAAAAAACCTAAAGCTTTAAAGACATTTAACTAGGACAGCTGTGGTGTTACAGTCAATAGTCTTCAGGATCAAGAAGCTGTATCGATCACAGTAATAGTCCTTAACAACTGAAGAGAAAAAGAGAACACAAAACACAGACATATTCCAGTTCCTCTTATTCTAAGGCTAAGAGGCCCAAGATGCCAAGCAAACCTGACAGAGCCATCACTATGACATAAGAGTATCATTTATCTTTCCCTTCTTAACAGGGGCCCAAGAACTGTATGAGCCCACCATTAGCTGTTCATGTTCAGAGCCACATCACCCTCCCCACTGAGTAAACTACACTGGAAAGACTTTGCCCTAGGAACAACTATGGTGTGCTGAATGCCTTCATAATACCACAGACTGTAACTGTCTCATAGGGTAACAAGACCATAATCCTCAAAGAAAGCTAGATATACCCCAAATAAACTTTTCTGATGTCTCACACGCACCTTTTTCTCCAGCTCTGTAGCTTTGGCTTCAGATTTCTCCACCTTTGTTTTATCAATCATTTGATCTGAAAAGAAAAGTTAGTAAGTAAAGCTCCCAATTCTATTGTTATGGATTGAATCGTGTGCCCCAAAAATATATATCACAAATCCTAACCTCTATGTCTGTGGTTATAATCCCATCTGGGAACTGGTGGTCTTTGTTACGTTAATGAGACAGGATTAGTGTAGGGTGTGTCTTACATCAATCTCTTTTGAGATATAAAAGGGATAAAACAAGCAAACTAGAAGCAGAAATGAGAAGAGAGATTCCAAGCCACAAGATGATCACCTAGGAGCAGAAGCTCAGAAGAGACAAGGACTGTCCTCCAGAGCTAAGAGAGAAAGGAAGCCCTCCCCTAGAATCGGCATCCTTCTAGCCTCTTAAACAGTGAGAAAATAAATTTGTTTGTTAATGTCACCCACTTGTGGTTATTTCTGTTATAGTAGCACCAGACAACTAAGATATCTATCTTTCCCTTTTACTACCTAAGCCCTTCTTATATAACCAAAGTTCAGTCTTCTGTCCTTCTGGTTATTTTCATTATCCTTCTTAATGTTCTGCACTAGACAAATAAATGAAACTTTCAATTATACTCAACATAAAATTTCTAAATATTTTTAAGCAGTAAGGTTACTATACTGGGTGGCATGAAGAACGCTGACATATAATATTTATGACTCTCTGAGATCAGTAGGAGTCACAGCTGAAGTTCCTGCAAAATGTGACATTTACGTAGAAATAAACTAAAGGTCTATATATTCGTAGCACAGACCTAAGAAAGGGCAAAAGTGAAAACACTTGGTGCAATGTGAAAACACTGAAAATGTATCATCTCTGAAATTTTCAACAGAAGATGTAAAAGGAAAGCTAGAAGCAATTTTTTGAGGAGTTGGGTAAGAGCATGCTTACCAATCAACCCCTCAATATCAATCTGGAGGTGCCGGCACTTGAAGTCAGGATCAGCCCCATTCCTGTGCAGAACTATCTGGGAAATACATTCTTCAATCAACTTATAGTACTGTGGTCTACAGAAGAAACAAAACAAGGATATCATAGGAAAACAAAAATATAATTTTAAGAAGTATTCCAAGATTGAGAAAAATTAATTGCTTTGATGATAATAGAGAAATATATGAGGTAAGTATTCTGGAAAAGATCTTTTTGTAAATTTAACAGAAATATGACAACCATGCTAAGAAATATCCCTCTTCCCTATCAGCTACCCCATCTATTCCACATAATCAAAAATTCCTGCTATCTGCTTCCTAGTGCCAATCTTTTCCCATTCAATAACCTGTGTTTAATCCTTCCTGTGATGGACAGTATTATAGCTGAATCTCCATTTCTATGCAACTAGAAGGGATTCTAAATTGTCACCTCTTTTTGCCATCTTTAAAAAAAAGAAAAGAAGAAGGGCATCTCACCTCATATACTCTGATCCACAGGGATGCCCTTCAGATGGATTAAAGGAACACCTGACTACTCCCTCTTTACCTGTTACTATAAGTGAAACTTAATTTTTTGTGTTCATCTTTTCTTTTCCCCTTTATAGAACGATCTTTAAAGAATTCTGCTCTCTCTATTTAGGTTCATGGAGCTCTGGTGGTGTAGTGGATAAGCCACTTGGCTGCTAACCAAAACATCAGTGGTTCAAACCCATCAGCCACTCTGCAGAAAGAAGATGGCACGATCTACTTCCGTAAAAGATTTACAGCCTTGGAAACCCAATGGAGTTGCTATGGAGTCTGAATCGACTCAATGGCATTTTTTTTTTTTTTTTTGTTATTTAGGTTCATATTCAAAACTTCTCAGGCATTTCATCTTACCTGGCCTCATAGTCATTTCGGACCAAGAGCAGGTGCTGCAGGATGGACAGGAAGTATAGCTCTGCCTTTGAATCCTTCACTGTGTTTAAGAGAATCTGGAACACTTCACTGAAGTCAGTGGAAAAGGGGAAAGGGCTAAGGAAAGGATATATTTAAAAACTACCTGTGACAGATGGCTTACCCAACTCTTGGAGAAGCTGGGAAAAAGTAGCAAGATGCCATTTCTACTCTAATAGCTTCCTCCTACAACCATCACTAGAAACTTTAAGCTCTATCTATAAACCTCCTTTGGTTAAATGACCAGTAAGTTGGGTGGTAAAGGGAGAGAGGATTCCTAGTAATTGGCTTGAAAATCATGCAGTATATAAACTAAAAGATAACTGCCTCAAAGTCATTTGTGGCAAATCCCAATAGGTGACCAAATTATTCCTTCTTTCAGTTTCAGGGACACATACAAGAAAACAAATTACAACTCCACTCCTTGACTTGTATATGTTCTCCAAAAATCAGTTCTACATATTAATAAGCTAAGTTATCATGCTCCAAGAAGTCTATTTTAACTTTGATGGCTGTTTCCATGTTGACTAACGCTCAGATCATCTTTACTGATTTCTCTGATCCATGTCAAGGTAAATAAGACTAACAGTAATAAAAAGGAACCTGTCTTACCTACTGAGAAGACACATAACCTATTCAAAGTTATCACACACCCACCCCCCTTCAAGACACATCACTCCATTCAGGATCTGTAACTAACAGAACAAATGTCTCATTTGTCTTGACCCCAGTCAGTAAAAGGATATTCCATCTCCATACGAATGTCATCCAAACGTCCCTTTAGATCATAGGAATCTTCTTCCCCTTGTTCATCAAACACAGCTAGCTGTACTCTCATATCATCATTATCAATCTCTCGAAGGTCCTGTCAATGACAAAAAAGTAGAAGAGTCAGGGGACCCAGAAGTGTCCTATATGGCTACAAACCCAAACCTTTCCATCTAGTTTTTAAATTGAAAACTGAAGTTACCCCAGAGATGTCTCGGGCTATAGAAGCAGAAATGAACCAGTCCAGTCTTTCTAATGATGAAGTGTTACATCTTACCTGCAACACTTGATGCAGTCCCAAGCGCATCAGTTCACTTCGGATGTGAACTCGGAAATCAAGTTCTTCAGCTGGTGTGATGAGGGCATTGATCAGCTGTAGGCAACCCACCTAAAATAAGAAACTTGAACAATTAAGTCAATGCTAATTCCTAGAGATCAAGATTCCACTCTCTTTACATGCATTCTGAGGCGTCCAGATATAAGTAGAAGATGAAGTACAAAAACTGTAAGAATGACTTTCCACTAGAGTCATGATGCCTAGTTTGAGCATAGGTTTAGAGAGTTCAGAGCTCTAAATGATTCTGAAGATTTGATGTTATACTTGGTTTACTTGGTTTTCCTAGTTTATAAACAGATATCATGACTTTTTCCATCTTATAATGAATAAAAAACAGTTTTTCTGATTTCTTAGAGAGAAGGTTAATCATTTTCCCTTCAGAACAAATTCTGAAATATAAAATACAGAATTGGGAATCACTCCATGGATTCTATTAAAAGGTCAAATGAGCTTAAGTCCTTTCATCTTGAATTCTATTCTTGGGCCTGGTTTCAGGGGATATACATGCCTTGAGTGCAATGGAGGTCCCACTTTTTAATCCATCCAGCAACGGCTGGAAACGTTCCACCTCATCCATCTCAGCTCTTTCTGTCATTGCCTCCAAAACCCTCTCATTCCTGCACAAGAGAAAGGAAAAGGAGAGAACTGTCCAGGTGCACAGACATGAGTAAGTAATAGGAAGTAATGGGGCACAGACAACTTAGGAAATAGAACATTACCTATGCTTCAAATTTCTCACATTATTCCTCTCAACATCTAGCGCAGGGGACAGAATCTGCTGAAAGCTAAGTTAGCCATCTCTTCAGAAAAATGCACTCCCAAAACCCATCCCTGGATTCCTATCCAGAGATACCATAATACCCCAATTCTATAAATTATAAATTTGCATGACTTTTGGAGGGCCATTTAACTGTACTAATCCATTTTTAATGCATATAATAATAGGCTTATGTGATAGTTGGAGCTGTGTGTCAACTTGGCTGGACCCCAGTTCTGTGTGGTTGTTCCCATGATGGGATCAGATGACTGTGTTCTGAGTGGCCAATCTGTTGAAGGGGAGTTTCCCCAGGGGTGTGGCCTGCTTCCAGTATATCCAGGGACATCCTGAGAAGAGAGACATTCTTCTGTGGATTGGGATTCTGTTGTGCTGCCCACAACTGTCTGTGAGTGAGCAGTTCACTGTTCGGCCTGGAGATCTTGGATCCGTCATTCGTTGGAATCAACAACCAGTGTGCCTGCCAGCCTTGAGCTCCTCAGCCGCTGCGGTTGCAGGAGCCAGGAAAAGCCTCCAGTTTGACGTTTGATCCAGGAATTTTGGACTTGCCGGCTTCTATACATGTGTGAGCCATTTTCCTAAGATAAATTTCTCTCTATATATATAAGCTTTGCTGGTTTTTGTTTCTCTAGAGAACCCAGTCTAACACATTTGGTACCGGGAGTGGTTCTAGAGAGACAAAATCATAAGAATGGGCTTCCTAGATTGGTTCTCCAGTTTGATTAATCTTAAAGACACTAGCGACCCTGTGTCTGTTAGTAGAGGGCCTTGCTACTCTGTGGCATGAGGTGGGAAAATTAATGATGGAATGGCCTCTTAAAAACACAAATACGGCGCCAGCTAGGTGACAATACCTTAAAGTGTTGGGGCAATGTTCTCCAGGAGGCTGTATATGCTCTAAACCAGTGCCCAATATATGGTTCTGTTTCTCCAATAGCCAGGATTCATGGGTCCAGGAACCAAGGGGTGGAAACAGGAGTGGTACCACTCACTATTACCCCTAGTGACCCACTCAAAAAATTTTTGCTTCCTGTCCCTGCTACCCTATGCTCTGCAGGTCTGGAGATCTTAGTCCCAAAGGAAGGAACACTCCCACCTGGAGACACAATACTGATTGCATTGAACTGGAAATTAAGAATGCCACCCGGCCATTTTGGCTTCCTCATGCCTCTGGATCATCAGACAAAGAAGGGCATTACTGTACTGTCTAGTGTGATAGATTCTGATTACCAAGGGGAAATTGGGGTAGCTTTACATAATGGAGGTAAAGATGAGTATGTCTGGAATCCAGGAGATTCTTTAGGACGTCTTTTAGTACTACCATGCCCTGTGATTAAAGTCAATGGAAAATTACAGCAACCCAATTCTGATATGACTGCTAACATCCCAGACCCTTCAGGAATGAAGGTTTGGGTCATCCCACCAGGCAAAGAACCACGACCAGCTGAGGTGCTTGCTGAGAGCAAGGGAAATACAGAATGGGTGGTGGAAGAAGGTAGTTCTGAATATCAGCTACGACCACATGACCAGCTGCAGAAACGAGGACTGTGATCATTATATTTCTTCATTGTATATGTGTATCAAATATTTTTGTTTCCTTCTGTTATGAACTGTGAAATGCAAATAAGGTTAACGTGTTTTGGTTGTACATGTGTTAGCATATCATGTTAGGCACAAATATGACTTTATAATTGTCCTTATTTAGAGATTATATATGGTTAAGAAGATGTGTACGACTCCCAAGTTGACAAGGGGTGGAATGTGATAGTTGGAGCTGTGTGTCAACTTGGCTGGACCCCAGTTCTATGTGGTTGTTCCCATGATGGGATGGGATGACTATGTTCTGAGTGGCCAATCTGTTGAAGGGGAGTTTCCCCAGGGGTGTGGCCTGCTTCCAGTACATCAAGGGACATCTTGGGAAGAGAGACATTCTTCTGTGGATTGGGATTCTGTTGTGCTGTCTACAACTGTCCGTGAGTGAGCAGTTCACTGTTCGGCCTGGAGATCTTGGATTCATCATTTGTTGACGTCAACAGCTGGTGTACTGCCTGCCAGCCTTGAGCTCCTCAGCCCCTGCGGTTGCAGGAGCCAGGAAAAGCCCCCAGCTTGATGTTTGATCCAGGAACTTTGGACTTGCCGGCTTCTATACATGTGTGAGCCATTTTCTTCTCTCTCTCTCTCTTTATATAAGCTTTGCTGGTTTTTGTTTCTCTAGAGAACGCAGTCTAACACAGCTTACTTCTAGAAATCTATCCATAGATGTGAAATAGTACATCTGGAAGAATATTCATTATAATTTTATTTGTAATATGAGAAATTCTTATCATCTAGAGCAAGAGCCAAAATCTGTTGGGAAAAAAAGTCTACCTAAAGTCTAGCGATTGGGGAATTGTTAAATAAATTATGGTACATATATGCTGTGAAATGCTGAATAACTACTAAAGATAATAAGTACTGACAGAGAAGGATGTCTTAGATCTACTGTTAAATAAAAAGAAAACAAGTAGAAAAAAAAATGTATGGTATGATTCAGTTTGAGTTAAACCAAATCCCTCTACAAAAGTAATCTATATATGTGATTGGTTTTATAGGTATTAGCCACTTTTCTAAGCTTTAAAATACCATCTTTTGGGGTGGCAGAATATGTCTTAGAACCAAGGAAATATAGTAATTTGCCTATGCTTAGAAAAAGATCTATGAGATTATACCAAGCCAGTAACTTCTGCAGAGTAGGATTTGGTGAAGGGATGAGGTTGCTTTACTGTATATACTTCTATTGAGAGCTCTGGTGGCGTAGTGCCTAGGGCATTTGACTGCTAACCAGAAAGCTGGTGGTTCAAACTCACCAGCCACTCCTTAGAAGGAAGATTGGGCAATCTACTTCCATAGTGATACTGCCTCGGAAACCCAAGGAGGGGTCGCTTTAAGTCGGCTCCAACTTGACAGCAGTGAGTTTGGATTTTTGGTGTATTTCTATTATTGTCTGAATTTAGAAAATATACTGTTGTATTACTTCTGAATTAGGAGGGAAAAAAAAGTAGTTAATACGAACATTAATGGAGATCCAGGAGTTCTGGTGGTTCAGTGGTTAAAGCATACGGCTGCTAATGAAAAAGTCTGTAATTTGAACCCACCAGCCACTCCATGGGAGAAAGATGAAGCAGTCTGCTTCCATAAAGATTTACAAACTTGGAAACCATATGGGGCAGTTCTACTCTATCCTACAAGGTCACTATGAGTCAGAATTGACTTGATGGCAGTGGGTTTGGTTTTTGGTAGAAGATATACCTAATACCTGTTATACCTCTGATAACCAGTGGTAGACTCAGGACAGCCTCTGTCACTTAGAGATCTTTCTTAAATATTAAGAGTCAACAATTTTCACTTTTGGGAAGAGATGTAATTATCATCTAGTACTTAAGACCAAGAGGACACCGAAGCAACTCAGTTTTCCTTTAGTGTAGAGAAGATGGTAAAGAAGACGGAGAAGAGAGAAATGATTCCAATCACTTACATGTCCTCTGGCTGTGGTAGGATACAGAGAGCAGAGAGCAGCTTAGCCGCATCAATCATCATGTTCGGGACGGCAGGATCCATGGCTCGAACCAGCAGCAGTATTCCCTCTTCTGTCTCCAACATAGTCTTGATTCCAAACTGGTAAGACAAGAAGAGAGAAGAGAGGGTTCAAGATGACAGAATCTAACCAGGGACAAGGTTTAGGGGCAGAACACCTACCCTAATATAGCTAAAGAGAAATGAGCATAGGAAAATAATTTTCTAATAGACACAATATAATTCCGATTTCCAAGAACAAACATCTCTTCTTAATGCAAAAAAATAAAAATCAAGTGGAATAGTAACAGTGAGAAATAAATCTGTACTCAAACCAAAAAAATCAAACCCACTGCCATTAAGTCAGATCCGACTCATAACGACCCCTTCATGGGTTTCCGAGATGGTTATCACTACAGCAGTAGATTGCCCAACCTTCCTTCCGAGGAGTGACTGGTGGATTTGAACTGCCAGCCTTCTGGTTAGCAGCCAAATGCCATATGCACGACGCCACCAGAGCTCCCAATTTGTACTCAGGGGCTCCTTGAGGAAAATCTTTTAAATACTAAACAGCCAAAAAAGATGAAAAAATCTTAAAATACAATCAGTCTGGAAGAAAAGCAAAACGACAAGCAGAGAACAAAGCAATCCTTCCAAAAACAGTATCTACAGGTCAGAAAATTCAAGATTTAGTAATAAAAAGTATGGAAAAAAGAAAGAAAATTGAGCCTACTCTTTGAAGCAAGAGTTTAGAAGTGTGTGTGTGTGTGTGTGTGTGTGTGTGTCCCAAAGAAGCATGCGTATTTGGCAATGGAAAACAGTTATAATGACCATATATAAGACTGGCAGATGAGATTTCTACATACATATTTGTATGTGCTGTAGGAATGACCAAATATATAATAGAGCTAACAAGGGGCAAATTATAGTAACTTCTTGGCCACTGCCAGCTACCCTGAGGGAGTGAGTAGTTGGACTTGTGGGCTCAGGACCAGATGACATCAAGCTCAACTGGCATAACACACTACACAAAAACATTGTTTGACACCCTACTGTAGTGAGTAGTGACTGGTGTCTTAAAAGCTTGCAAGTGGCCATCTAGATGCCTCATCTAGAGCAAGGAAGAATGAAGAAAGCTAAAGACACATGGAAACAATTAGTCCAAGGGAGGGACTAGCAGACCATGTGAACCTCAGCCTATATGACCATGAGACCAGAAGAACTAGATGGTACCCAGCTACCGCTATCAACCACTCAGAAAGGGATCAGTGCAGGAGATCCTGGATAGAGTGGGAGAACAATGTGGAACAAAACTCAAAATCATAAAAAAAAAAAGACCAAGTTTACTGGTGTGATAGTACCTGTTGAGACCCCTGAGACCATGGCCCCTAGTTACCCTTCAGGTTTGGAACTGAACTTACTTCCGTGGCTCCCAGCCAAACAACAGACAGGCACATAGGGTGAATGTTTACATCAGGTAGAAGATACACTCCTTGGAGCAATCAATCGTGGGAAAACAGAAAGGCAGTGTTTGCACAGGGAGAGAGTTCAGGGGGCAGGAATGCATAGGATAAAAGGACACAGGGAAGAGGTAACAACAGGGAGGAAGTGGAAAGAGAGCTGTTAACATGGTGGGGGAACTGCAGTCAATGTCATGAAACAAAATGTGTACGAACTGCTGTATGGAAAATGAATTTGCTCTGTAAACTTTCACCCAAATCACAATAAAAATTTAAAGTAAAAAAAAAACAGTTACAATACTAAAAGAGAGAGCTAGAAGTCTTAAACCTCATATTCATATTCATTCAAATTTTTGTGGGTTTGCCAATAGCAGGGAAAGACCGGAAATCAAGAAAGATGGGGATTGAAATGAGAATGGTAAAAAGCTCACCTTGTTGTTCATAAAAGCTTTCAAGCAGCGAATGATCTCATGCTTGTTACGGCTATCATAGCTTCTGCAGGTAGAAGACATAATCAGCGAAGTCCTTTTATTTCATACCCTTTTCCCATTTGACATTTCAATCTTGCAAACAAGGATTATAGATACACCCCAAGTGGTAGGTGAATAAAGTCTGGCCCATAACACTTCACTCTGAAAGAACTGGCAACAAATAGGGCTCAAGAACCCACCATCAAAGGCCTCTGGCAAATTCACTCTCAATCCAAGGATTTAATTTTACATTAAAACCTTCCCTTTTACTTTCCCTAGGCTCCTAAGTACTAAATGCTATCAGGATAACATCCCATCTATTATTGCCTGCCTCACTAAATCAAAGGCTTCAAGTCTGAGAGTGTAGATGCAAAAGGTCCAGGCTCTGAATTATTTCAGAAAGATCCCCCAAAAAGTAAAGAAATCACTTTGGTTCAGGCTGGCTTCAATGTAGCCTAAAACAGTTCAAGGTATCCTCAGATTACTCCAGCTGAAGAACACTATAAAGATAGATCTAAACCAAGAAACAAATCAAGTATATTGTAACACCTCCAAAGGAGATATGACCCAGACCACATTATAGGGCAGCTCTGGACTAAATCGGAGCCTATTTCCAGACTGGATAAGAACCTGCTGGGAAACTATTAATCTTTTTTTTTTTAATGTAAAAAATTGAAACATAAGGTTTATTCTGAGCAGTTATTCTACTTGCATATAAGGAGACCATTCTGATTCTAGAAAAAAGCAAATGGTTTGAAGTAAACCAGTTAAAATGAGGTTAAAAAGAGAAGATGAGGGAAAAGAATAGATCAACCAACAGCTAATCTTTTTTTCTTTTTAATATACTATTTGATTGTGTTTTCAGTGAAAATTTAGAGACTTATAATCTTATGTGCTATGTATCTCATGTTATTCACCTTGAAACTTAAGCTCCTCCTTTTTTTGTATTTATAATCATCATTCATCCTCTAGCCACCCTTCTGATAAACCCCACTGTCATCTAACAACATATTCACCTAGTTCATTACTTTATATTTAACTGCTATTTTCTTTTTCAGAAAATCTCCTACTACCATCTAGAAGATGCCAAGACTTTGAAGTTCTCACCCAGAAATCTCTTCTTTCTCATCATGAAGTCGTTTAAGGATGTCCAATAAGGAGGCTAGGCCCTCAGCACCAAATGTTTGCACCCAACTGTAAGGGACACACAAAGACAATGCAACATCAAATCAAATCAATACTTTTTCATGAAAAAAAAAAAAGTTTATCCTAGCAACTCTTTACTCTAAAACCAGACCATTTTCATGCTTCCTCGACTCCTTTGACCTTTAATCTTCAGTGAACTCCAATGCTGGGCTCTGACTCCTGCTAGTTTCTCTGAATTCTCACCTGACAGGGTTGTTGTTGAGAGAAACACGAAGAGACTCCAGGCAGCTGAGCAGGGCCATATCCCGCAAGCCTGACTTCAACTCCTGAATGTACATCATGGCAGACCTAGAGCTCTCCTTCTGGCTCATGCCCTAGACAGGGGGCATACAGAGATTAGTAAACACTGGATCCAGTCATAAAGTGGGGACTAATGTTAGTCACTACAGTTTAAATAATACCAAGCAGACATCCATCACACATATCACCAAACTATGTGAGACTGAGAATTCCTCATCCCATTACCCATACATACTTCATGAAGATTAATTAGGCAAAAAGTATATAAGAGTGGTATTTCAAGTAAGAGTAAAAATGAATATGCTTATACACTAGAATGAAATAGAATGGGTGGAGATATAAAATGTTATATAAAATTCACAAAACAAGCAGGTCCAAGGATAAGGGCATAGTCTCCCATGTCATGGATAACTGCCCCAAGACTCACAGCCTTAGAGGTGTGCAAGTATTGGGACACCATCTCTCTCTTGATGATAATGTCCTTCTCCCTCAAAGGTTGCTGTTTCTCCTCATTCAGGTTCATATCCAGCTAGCAGATGGAGAAAAAACAAAATTGCCTCAAATGCCTTATAGGTTTTCACTGTCATATTTAGTATTCCTAGTAAAGAGGTATGTTAAACGCTTATTGAATAAATAACTTTCCTGATTTCTAGAGATTTAAACCATTACCCACCAAACCAAACCCACTGCAACTGAGTCAATTCCAAATCATAGTGATGCTGTAAGACAGAGTAGAACTGCCCCATAAGGTTCCCAAAGCTGTTATCAATACAGAAGCAGTCCGCTTCAATTTTCTCCTGCAGAGCAGCTGATGGGTTCAAACTGCTGAAATTCCTTAGGGATAAATTTAACATTTTAGTATAAATCCCTATATACATATACCTTCTCATCTTTTTTTTTTTCCAAATAAAATTGGACACTTAATGTAGATTAAAAATTTGTTTTCTATCATTGAAAGAAAAATACACAATATCTTTGTACTGACGATGGGCATTAATAACCTTCCTCTGTCAGAATGAAGCACTGGATGACTGGCACGATACAAATACCAGCAAAATTTGCATCATCTTCAGGGCCTAAACACCCATTACCCCTGGTTAACTCTGTCCTATACAAACTCCTTTCCCACGAGGAATTGAAAACTCTGTGAAATAGCAAAAGCCCCTCCACAGACATAATTTGGTGTTTTGTTGGGGAAACGGCTCTACTTGAGCTTATGGTAAGTATAACCATGTGTCTGAGCCCAGTACTTTAGTGAATACAAGTTTAACCCTAACAAGCCTAGAATATTATTTGAAATCAGCAAAGTATAGGAAAAAAATTGTTGATATAGTAGTCTACTTCTTATTGGGGGAGGGGGATGAAGGCATCATTGTCTTTGAGTAACAATAATAATCAGAAGCTTTTCTGACTCAATTTGACTTTTTTCCTTTTGCAGGTAATTTGAACAGAGAAGTTGCAAAATGGTAGTAGCCCTCAGTCACCTGATCCAAAGATGAAGTGTTTTGCTTGGCTAGCTCAACATTTTAAATTTGGGATGTTTCACATAAAAATACAGATTTCTGGCTTCTTTTGAATAACAAATATCCGGTCCTACTGAGCGAGCATTCCCTACTGGAATGCCATAATCTGCTGCAACTGAGTTGTCTATTTGAAATGCAGTTGTGACTGCCCTTTCTAACAAAAATGCCAAAAGGTCTTGAATTTACATGTCTCCTCTACTTTTCCATCATCTTCCATCGACCTATTTAACTTATTTACTAGGCTTTGAATTGGTTCTTCCTGGTTTAGTCATGACCAGTGATGTAAAACTGGAACTGACTCAAATTTATAAAATGTAGGTGAATCAGAATGATAACTGGAATGGTAACCAGAACAGAAAAATCAGGGGCGGAAGCACTGCTAGAAACTTAATCTCCCCCTTAGAAAACAAGGGCAGTATAGCATAGTAACCAAATCTCTGGACTAGCAGAGTCACAAACAACACAAACACAAAGATGGCACTGAATGACCACGCTGCCCTGAATGTGTATCACTCTACAGTCCTGGTAATAATCCAGTCTCCTGCATCAGGCCCCTGAAAGGGCTCACTAGGCCTCTTCTGAGCCTCCCACTCCAGGGCTTCTACTCAGTTTTCCTACCCTGCTTCAACCAAATTTTAAAAATTTGGGTCTGCTCTGATTTTGTTTCATTTGCCATGACTAAATTGATTCAAAATAGTTCAAAACTCTGCTTATGTATGCTACTTGCCTGGTCAAAAAGACATTTAAATTTGCAATGTAAGGTCAAAAGAGTGTCTTGACAGAGCAAACCTGGCTCTTAATGCACTTGGAATGTTAAGAAACAAACCAAACACTTTAATGAAAAACAGTAGTAGCAGTTGAGTGTTTACTATGTGCCAGGCCCTTTGTTAACCATATATAATCTTATAAGGTAGGCTGTATCATTCTTAGCTTACATGAAAGAGTTTACATGAAAGGGTTATCTAATGTTAGAGCTAGGTGGCTGGGCTGAGGAGATCTGAATCCAGATCTACTACCTCTAAAGCCCATGCTTTTAATTAAGTCAGATGTGCCACTAATCTCTATTTGAGTATATAACCATATATCTATACAATATACTGGTCTTATGAAACCTTATAAGCAAATACTTAAAACTTTCTAAGACTCATCACTTATGTAAGGAGAAGTGGTAGCATAGTGGCTAAGGCATTTGGCTACTAAGCAGAAGCGGTTCTAAACCCACCAGCTGCTCCGTGGAGGAAGATGAGGTAACTTACTTCTGTAAAGATTTACAGCTTTGGAAACCCAGTGGTGATCACTATGAGTTGGAATTGACTCAATGGCAGTGGGTTTTTTTTTTTTTTTAAATCACTAGTATGTCTCATCCTCACTAAGAACAGCAAGGTAAGTCACATTTGTGTACACTTCATTACTCAACTGGCTTCAGCCACAATCTTTAAATGTTTTACAGCTTTGGAAACCCAGTGGTGATCACTATGAGTTGGAATTGACTCAATGGCAGGGGTTTTTTTTTTTTTTTTAAATCACTAGTATGTCTCATCCTCACTAAGAACAGCAAGGTAAGTCACATTTGTGTACACTTCATTACTCAACTGGCTTCAGCCACAATCTTTAAATGTTTTATAGTGATTATAACATCAGAATCCTCTTTTCCATATTTACCACCAAATAGAGAGCCTTGGGCAAATGATGACTCTCCATTCCTAAATATCTTATTTGTATACAGCTCACTGTGAATGCTTCAACATTTCTGTTTATTCTGGCTTATCTCAGAGATTATCTCATACATCACATGAGTTGGTCCACTCTCCCTACGTCTTTGTGGCTAAAGTGTGGCAGAACATAAACAGGGTGGTGAGTGATCAGATGTTTCCAAGCTTTAACACAAGGATTACAATTTCATGGACTGGTATATGGTATATGCTAACTAGTACCTTAGTTAACAGGATTATTATTAAAAAGTTCCCTGTGAAGCCTAGAATTCTCTGTAATGAAGGGCTAGTCAAAGGGAACATGCACAAAAAAAGGCTCACTGTGCCCATACTGCATTTTTAGGAAGAAGTAATGTTTTGGGGTGTGAAACTTACCAGCATCTGTTCAAAGAGAACGAGCACTTGCTCATCTGAAACATCTTGCAATGACTGTGCTGTGGGATCATCCCCATAAGATGCAGATGAATTTCTTTGAGCAGAATTGGTCTTTTCCTTTTCCTTCTTAATTCTCATGCTGGTAAATCTCTCCAGCTGAGAAAGAGAAAAAAAGTATTAGCAGTGTTCCATTTTCATTAAAAAAAAAATCACACATCAAATACCTAACCTCTAACCTCACATACATGCATGGCTCCTCTGGTTCATGAGCAGTTTAACACTCTTTGACATGAAAAGGCAAAATTATTCTTCCTCATATCTAACTTAGTAGACCGACTCTACTCTCATTTTCATCCAAAGATAAAAGAACTACCATACTGAGATTTGAAAGTTCTCTAAAAAGAAAAACTTTGCCCTTGAACTCCCCACCAGGTCTAAGCCATCTCTAACAATATAGAGTTGAAAGCATCTCATGTGCAGAAATATCTCAGTAAGATATCCTCTCTGTTTCTCACTAACAAGTTAATAATAAATGTGGCCATGTCCCCCAGAGGATCCCTCCCTTCAAGAACTGAGTATGACTAGATTTTAGTTGATCTAAATCATATAGGGTAACAAGTAAATGCCTTAAAATCAGGAATCATTCCTTTTAATTCTTTTGTACATTGCACAGCACTTGGCTTATAAAGGCAGTAAAAGTTCAATACATACTCTTCAAATGAGTACAAATCCCCTTTTCAAAACATCTAGTCAACTAAGACTATACCGTACGTCAGAGGTATACATACTACCTCTCTGTCAAACAAATGCTCATGAACCGTTCCTCAAACCCCAAGTACAGCTGCTCTTATCAAAAAGAGCCACCAATAAGCTACAGCTTATCAGCTCCACATGTCTGAAAATAATATAAATATCTTCAATAACTGTGGGGCTTCAAGTAATAGTAGTGGCACTCAGGCCAAAAGTTAGAGTTTAACAAGCATGCCTAATCTTAGAAGCTGATGAGTGTGTCAGGGAAATGCATGCAATGGGCCAAATGCAGAGCAAAGGGTTAGGAAAAGCCTTGAGACGTTCTGGGAATAGAATCCATATCACCATTACAAGTTACAGAAAGTCAAAGGTTATGACAACTGGTAAATATCATAGTGTAGGAAATAAGCTAGAACATGCACATGCTGAACAAAATTTCCTTACCTCATCTGCCATGAGCCGCTTCAAAGTCTATGAAACAGGAAAAAGAAGGGAAAAGAAAGTGAAGAGAGATCAGTGAAATATTGGGAAACATCCCAAGCACCAGAGAGGGTGGGAGGAGAAAATAAGCTGAAAGGGGACTTAAGCTATTTCCTGCAAGTTAAAAGATTTCTACAATCCTTTAAGTAAAAGACAGGAAAAGTTTTAAGGTCACTAACATACAACTCTTGAACAGAGAGTAGTTCAAATGAATGGGGAAAAAATGATGAAGTGAAAGAGCTGAATAGAAGACTTCAAAGGGCCGCTCAAGAAGACAATGTAAAGTGTTATAATAAAATGTGAAAAGACCTGAAGTTAGAAAATCAAAAGGGAAGGACACACTTGCCATTTCTCAAGCTAAAAGAATTGAAGAAAAAGTTCAAGCCCCGAGTTGCAATACTGAAGGATTTTATGGGCTAAATATTGAACAATACAGGATACATCAAAAAGATAGAATGAATACACAGTCATTGACCAAAATGAACTGGTCAATGTTCAACCACTTCCGGAAGGATAATATGACCAAGAACTGATGGTACTGAAGGGAGAAGTCCAAGCTACACTGAAGGAACTGGTGAAAAACAAGGCTCCAAGAATTGACGGGTATCACTGAGATGTTTCAACAAATGGATGCAGCACTGGAGGCGCTCACTCATCTAGTCCAAGAAATCTACAAGACAGATACCTGGCCAACTGACTGGAAGAGATCCATATTTGTGCCTGTTCCAAAGAAAGGTGATCCAACAGAATGAGGAAAGTATTGAACAATATAATTAATATCATAAGCAAGTAAAATTTTGCTGAAGATAATTAAAAAACAATTGTAACAGTATGTTGACAGGGAACTTCCAGAAATTCAAGCCAGACTCAGAAGGGGATGTGGAGTAGGGATAGCATTGTTGATGTCAGATGGATCTTGACTGAATATAGAGAATACCAGAAAGATGTTCACCTATGTTTAATTGACCATGCAAAAACAGTTGACTGTGTGGACCATAACAAATTATGGATAGCATCGAGAAGAATGGTAATTCCAGAACACTTAATTGTGCTCATGAGAAATCTGTACATGGAACGAGAGAAGATCATTCCAACAGAGTAAGAGAATACTGCTGGTTTAAAATCAGGAAAGGTGTGTGTCAGGACTGTATCCTTTTACTATATACATTCAATCTGAGAAGCTGAACTATATGAAGAAGAACATGGCATCAGGATTGGAGGTAGACTCATCAACAACCTGCAAAATGCAGATGACACAATCTTGCTTGTTAAAAGTGAAGAAGACCTAAAACACTTACTGATAAAGATCAAAGACTACAGTCTTCAGTGTGGATTGCACTTCAACATAAAGAAAACAAAAATCATCACAACTGTTTATCATGATGCTGCTTACTGGACCAGAGAAAAGATTGAAGTAGTCAAGGATTTCATTTTACTTGGATCCACAATCAACACCTATGGAAGCAGCAGTCAAGAAATTAAACGATATACTGCATTGGACAAATATGCTGCAAAAGATCTCTTTAAAGTATTCAACAGCAAAAATCTTCCTTTGAAGACTAAGGCAAGCCTGGCCCAAGCCATGGTATTTTCAATAGCCTCCTCTACACGTGAAAGCTGGACAATGAATACACAAGACTGCGGAAGAACTGATGCATTTGAGTTATGGTTTAGCAAAGAATACTGAAAATACCATGGACTGCTAGAAGAATTAACAAATCTGTCTTGGATGAAGTACAGCCAGATCATTCTTTAGAACCAAGAATGGTCAGACTTCGTCTTTAGTACTTTGCTCATATTGGTCAGAAGGGACCAATTCCTGAAGAAGGATAGCATTCCTGGGAAAGTAGAGGGTCAGCAAAAAAAGGGGGAAGACCCTCAATGAGATGGATTGACAAAGTGGCTGTGATGATGGCCTCAAGTATGGCAACAATTGTGAGGATGGTACAGAACTGGGCAAGGTTTCATTCTGTTGTTCATAGGGTAGATACGAGCTGGAAATGACTCAACAGTGCCTAAGAACAACAACAACATATGACTCTTTGAAGAAAAAAAAAAGGCAGAGAATTGAACAGGCTCTAAATTCAAATGACCTGTTGTTGTTGTTAAGTGCCGTCGAGTCGTTTCCGACTCATAGCGACCCCATGCACAGCAGAACGAAACACTGCCCGATCCCGCACCAGCCCCACA